TCCGATCCACAAAGTCCACCAACGCGTCTGGAATTTTGGAGTAGACGAAGGTTTCGATCACTGGGGAGACCAGCAGGCGACGCTGAACAAGCTTGAAGGTGGAGAACCGCGTGGGCCCGAGGAAGAGGATCTGGAGGGCCATGCGCGCCCAGCCTTTGCGCCGGTTCGCCGGGGTGTCAGGGGGAAGCGGGGCGCCGGGGGGGACCGCGTCCGGGTCATCCCAGGAGGCTTTGAGGAGGTCGGGCACCTCCACCACGGGGGACGGGGAGTCTCCGTCGATATAGACGACCAGGTCCGTGACCAGCAGGGTCCGTGAAGCCTTGTGGAGGAAGACGACCTCGTTGGCGGGGCCGATCCCGATGCAGGGCGGTTCGAACACCATGTGCTCGATCTCATTTGCCCAGGGGGTCTGGGCCGTTCCGCCGCCTTTACCCTTGTTCCCGTCGCTGCTGGCTCGAGGGTCTGTCAGGTAGGCGTCGACGCGGAAAGGAGGGGGAAGGTTGATCGGCCATGACCACTGTCCTGGACACGCGTACACTTTGGCCGCAGGGTATGCCCGCGCAAACCCGCCCACAAAGACTTTGTGCTCAAAGGCAGTGGTAGGTAGGACAATATAGGCAACTTGACCGCCAAGCTCGTCCACGAGCCGCCGACACTCGGCTGTTGCAGCGACGGGTGCGTGCACCCACAGCCGACCATCGGAAAGCCGGATTACCGTCATGCGGATAGGAGTGGTCACGTTGAAGAAACCTTGGGGCTGCTCAAAGGTCCAAATATCCTTGGCGATTTGTCTTCGGACGGTGCGCCTTTCAAAATAAGGCTTCAGTGGGAGCCCTGTGATCAGCGTGTATTGCCTCTCTTTCCGCAGGCGGATCTCCTCAGGACTATCGGAAGCGACGCCCGCATTGTCACCACTGCCGCGAGTGTATACTTCAAAAAGTGTTGCCAGTGGGTTGGGTTTGCTGTTTCGGACGGGCGTGGTTGGGGTCGCCCTATTTCTGGACGGTGCTCTTGTAGCAGGGTCTATTGTAGCTTTTGTTCCGGTTGAAGGCTTGTAGGCAGAGATCAAGGGACTGAGAAATAGGAGCAATACAAAAGCAGAAAATGCGGCGCGGACATGCGGGCAATATCTTGGTGGCTTATGCATGTGATGGGCTTCATGATCGGAGGAGAAAGGGAAAATAAGAGTGACGTTTTTCTCTAAAAAGCATGTGGGAGAGGGATTATTAAACATATCAAGGGGGCGACTGGGCGATAATTGGCCTTGCTCAGGGATGGCGAGGGGGGAGGCTGGTCATGGACACAGGCTCTGCTTGATTAAATGAACATTTCTCCATCAAACAAATTGTTATACATCACAGGCATTTACCATGCTTGGACACGCGGGCCTAGGCCTCCGTCGTTGGGTCGGCAATGCGGTCAAATTTACAACAAAGCCTGATGCTATTAGCTTTCCTCCATGCCGCACCCTCACTTGCACCAGCAGAAGCCTCGCCGCCTTCGTGTCCACCTTTGACGGAAGCAGTTCCCTCGTTTTTCCCGATTGTAATCGAGCTTCATTGCGACATCACCATCACCATGGCAGTCCCTTGATGGCCTTCTCAAGAGGGTTTTCCACCCCCCGAGAGAGCCCTGCCGCCGATCTCGACGTCCCTGCAGAAAGTATTCAAGGGGAAGATGAAGTGCTGGAAAATCCCAAGCCTCCCCGTAACTCCTTGGTGGGTGTGGTTATCTCGGACAAGATGGATAAGTCGATAGTTGTCAAGGTAAGGGAGAACGTCGGAGGAAAAGGAGCAGGCCATGGGTGGCGGAGAAAGGACTTGGGAGTTGAGTTGAGAAGACCTGATAGCTACTGTACCCATCGCGCTCAAACTTGGCTTATGATTCTTTTCCTTTGTGCTACAACCCGTCTTTATGCAGGTGTCACGGCTCAAACTTTATTTGCCGTATATGGTACGGAAGAAGGCAATTAAAAAAATCATGGCTCATGACGAGGAGAATGAGTGTGGGATGGGTGACACGGTGCGTATCAAGCCCTCGCGGCCGTTGAGCAAGAGAAAGCGATTTGTCTTGCACGAGGTGATTCGTAGGAACCCAAAGTTGACGATATGAAAGGATTCAGGCTGGGAACTGCGGACGACTTATAGACTAGCAAGAGAGGAGTGCCTATATATTTGTAACAGGCTTGCTTGCCACCGTTCTTCGATATAACAAAACCAATAACGAAGCTTGTAACCTCTTTCTCGATGGTTGTTGATTTTTTTTGGTGGGTTTTCATCTCCTTTGTTGCGTCCGGCCTGTGTCCAGGCGCCTTGTGCCAGCGCTACTCGTTCCGATCCGTCCACGTCGACAGAGCAACTTGGACATGGCGAGGCGATGTTCAGAGGTCTGGCAAGGTCATGGTAACAAACCAAGGCAATCATGCGATGAATCGATACGAAGTACATGATATCATCAAGCAAAGTGAGATATTGTGGTAAGATTTTTCAGTCGTGTGTCCTTTTGGCACTTCCACATCCATCTTACAGGGCCATTACCTGTATGAGGAAAAAACCTTCCCTTCCCTTTCTTTCTATTCTCCTTCTCCTCGCCGCCCACTGCACCACTACTGATCACGTAGAAGGTTGTATAAAGGTGGCAAACATTGCTTCAACGGTTCGTAACCATCGGCTCCGTGCCTTTGTTTCGCCCAGAAGGGTGTTGCCCCACGTGCGGGCAGTCTTGTCAAGAAAAAGCTATGGTGTCGGAGCAGGAGCTCCTTGCACCAGCACCTCTCGATATTGTACGAGCTCGACCGATCACACCGAAGAAGATATGCCTCGACGAGTTCCAAATAAAATCATGCCAGGAACCATATATTTTGTATCCACTCCGCTGGGCAACCTAGGAGACATAACCTTGCGGGCACTCGACGTGCTGCGAGGTGTTGATTTGATTGCTTCTGAAGACACACGGACCACAGGGCTCTTGCTCAAAGCGCTTGGTTTGGGAAAGAAGCCTCAAGTAAGCCACCATCAACATAACATACAAAGCCGCGTGCCCGACCTGATCAGGCGGGCTCAAGAGGAGAGGCTTTCCATCGCCGTGGTTTCTGACGCGGGGACTCCAGGGGTCTCCGACCCAGGAAGTGAGCTAGCGGCTGCCTGTTGGACTGCAGGCGTTCCTCTTGTCCCCGTCCCGGGGGCTTGTGCGGCTGTGGCGGCGATAAGTGTTGCGGGCTTCCCCTCCACTGAGTTCACATTCATCGGCTTTCTCCCCTCGAGAAGCGGGAAAGTTCGTCAAGCAGAAGTGGCCAAAGCGGCAAGGGAGGAACGGCCTTGCATCCTGTACGAATCACCGAACCGCATCCTCCGGACATTGACGGAATTGAGGGAGGCGGACGAGACGGGGGGTGGGCGCCTGGTCCTAGTCGCCCGCGAGCTGACCAAGCTCCACGAAGACCTCTACCGTGGCACCCTGACGGAGGCCTTGGCCCATTTCGGAGGCAAGGAAGAGCAAGGGGTATCCGTGGAGGCGGGCGCTTTCGCACCTCTCCGGGGGGAGTTCACCTTGGTGCTGGGGCCTCGGCCTCGGGTGGCGCGCTCCCAGGAAGAAGTGAGCATCGCCGTGCAGGCGATGCTTAGGGCCTGCCTGGAGGAGGACGGCATGTCCGCGTCCGAGGCGGCCAAGGCGGCCAGCAAGACCCTGGGGAAGGAGGCCGGGCTCGCAAAGTCGGACATGTACAAACTTGCTGTCGAAATGAAAAAGCCCCGAAGCTGACCTCGCCGGAGGCACCTGTCTTTGGAGGGTGGGCGCAGGCCGCGCGCCTCCACGTCGGTCTTCAGATCGTTATTTCTTTCCAATTTACGTTCATCTCTCTCGGGCTCCACCATCGGACCCCCCTCAGACACTCAGGCAGACTCACTAAGTTTTGGTGACAGAGAAACAAT